AAAAAAAAAAAAAATGAGGATGGTTCCGTGCGTCGGGACCAGGATCATAAATCTCTGCTGCTCCTTAACGTCGTTAGCGAAATCTTATAGCATATGTTTATACGACTCTTCCCAGCAGGACATGTTCATCACGTCACATCGGGTTCTTGTGGGTATTCGCTGAATCCGTGGTTTGCTGTTCAGCTGCCTCCATCCATACTTCTAAATCAGCTTGGCCCAAAATGCCCACAGCGCTACCTTCTGCTCCTCAACATCTGGACAGTGCGTGTCTACGTCATGAAGCTTGCCAGCATTATTTTTTGCGAGCCCTCTTTTCAACACTGGGCAGAATGTAAAGAATTTCTGCAAAAGCGCTGGTAAAACCTGGGGGACACACCCTCTTCACACGCCTTCCTGAGGTAATCAGAGACCTTGGCGATGGAGTTAACACACACAGTGTTGCAAACTGGTAGAACCANTCCTCCGTAGCGTTAGACAAACAGAGAGTGTCAGCAGAGGGACAACCACTAGAGGGAATGCTCCCGCACCGTATCATGGCTCTCAAATGCTTTAAAACCGTCGTCCTCATTCATTCGATAAACGAATCCCTCAGAGAAGTCCGGCTTCTCAGTAGTGCCAAACACATCATGCTCAAGCACTTGCATTGACTGCTGCACATGGGCATTCGATCCATCTGAAAAGCTCACGGAAAATCTCTCCATAGGTAGGTCTTTACTTGCCTCTCCTTCATCCAGCCGATGAGAAAGGCCTTGCTTGGGCTTTTTTTCAATGTCCTCGGTGTCGGTAATAAGCGCCTTAACAGAAGGAAAAGTGACCTCACTCTTCACAACTTTTTTCTCCTGTCCGACAAAGAGACTGAGGAACAACTGCTTTACCATCGGCCAAATAGCAGAGCCAAATTGAAAAAAAAGAATAATGCCCATAAAGTTCACAGCAATGAACGAAAACACACGCCCCTTATATTTGTTCCACATACCGGTTACCTGTGCTGCGTACTCAGTGCCTGTCTTGCTGTTTCTTGTGCCTGGCGATTTGAAGGTTGGAATGGACGATCCTACTCGTTTCCGCATTTCTCCCCACGAATTCGTCATGGCAGCCGCCGCTCTTCGCGCCGACGGGTGGTTCGTGACATAGCCCATCCCCTGACGGGCATAGTTGTTCACTGCGGGATGCCTGGAGAGCTGCAACAGCAGCTGCTTCGACAAGGAGCTCCACCAGCTCATAACCTACCTTAAAACACCCTCAGATTGCCTTCCTTTGTACACCTTACTAGGGCTCCGCTTGCAAAACAGCAAATGGTCCACGCCTTATCCTTCTTTTTTAACACAGAACAAAAAACAAAAATTGGAAATTAGGAGGTAAAAAAATATTTTGTCGTTAAAACTAATTGTCCCCATCAACCTTTATACC